AATTTTTAAAGATGGTCTGGATACAGGTGAAACGTATCTTTACCAGGGCAGGAGCTGAATTTCAGTCTTTGTGTGAAATGTAAAAAGGATGTGATGAAGAGTTGCTGCATCAGCCAAGGAGGTCCAGGTTTAGAGCTAACTTCACCCCTAAAGCCGGGCATACACCGATCTTTTTCAATCGTTACATTCAGCTACAGCTCACCTGAATGTATGACGAAACCACAGGGTTTCGTCGAACAGTGTGAGTTCACAGCTCACGATGTATGTTCTCACACTGTGCGACACGACGCTCGGATGCGATCTACCTACTCACACTGTACGTCTAAAAACCACGTCAGACTCAGCTCTGCAGTGAGATGGGGCTACTCTGACTTGTCTATCCAGAAGCAAAATGAGTAGAAGAGGAATATGAAGCTGAGTGAAACGCGCTGCCTTGAAAATTTGTGCAATTTTGTCTGCTGAAAGCTCTACAAAGAGAAGGAAAGGACCTATTTGGCTACTAAGATATGTCAATTTTACAGAAAGAACTCCATTTCACTTTAGAGGAAGAAGAAAAAGCAGAACCCTCGTTTGCCCACTGATGGATTTGCCCACGACGGTCGAGAGGAAATCAAAAATTTTCAAACATGGGGAAGTCTATGATGGACTGACAACCTGTCCAAGGTGTACTCTGCCTTTTGCCCATGGACTGCTGGAGATGGCACCAGCTCCGATGCTACTATTACAGATGAAGCAGTTAACCAATGAACTTTGGGTTCACTTGTAGGCTTATGCAAACTGGATATTTGAGCTCCTCATTGGATCTGTAAGGCTGAGTGCAGCAATCCTACAGAGGAAGCTCATTTTTGCTGCTAGTATCCAGGAGCTGAGTCTATTGATAATGATCCAAATCTCCTGAGGAGAGATAAGTTGAGTAGACAGACTGGTAAATTAAAAGCTTTTAATTCAGCTGTCTCTATACCATAGATGAGATCAAGACCCACAGACCTAAATCTGTCTGTTCAAATCTGTCTGCATCCTCCCATAATTGGTGAAAAGGAGAGCAACACAGGACTTTAAACAGAAAGATGAGAACCGTGGACTGTCTGACTTAGAGGAACTGACTCTCTTCCCACTCACTTCTCATTTGGCTGGGAACAACCTTAGGGCGTGTTGAAGGTCATGGCCTGAAAACACAGGCAGAACCACAGCCTCCTCTCTAAGACCCTAAAACCAATAACTCCACAAATAGAACACGGGACAGAAATCCTTTTCTGGTGGAGTGTGATTCTGTCTGGGAACAAGCTGAGGATGGAGAAACGGCTCCTGCTTTGGTTATACAAGGATAGAGCTGAAAAAAGAACATTTCAGGAAAAGAATGTGGCTGTCAGGTGATGCTGCTGGTATTCAATGGAGGAAATAAGAGGAACCCCAAGTACTGTACACAATGTGGCCCTTTTCAGACCACATTGTGTACAGTACTGGGGGTTCCTCTTATTTCCTCCACTGAATAAGAGGAACCCCCATTACTATACACAATGTGGCCTTTTTCAGGTCTTCTCAAATAAAGCTCTTCAATGAACTCAGTCTGAATATTTTCAGCTTCTGCCTCAACTTGCATGAACTTCCACCCTCCCAACTTTATTCTTCTCCTCTGTGAATACATATGCTAACTTACAGCTGCGGTGTCAGTTTTTGGGCTTGCATCTAGATGAGCTTAATTTCCACAAACAGTTTAAGCTGTGGAATTTCAGATATAGGCAACTCTCCATGTTGTTGCTGTGAATTCAATTTGCAACAAAGGTTGACTGATGTTGCTCTTTGTTAGAAGTTGTTTCATGCATCTCTTTTAGAAGATGATGGTAGCTCACGTCAGGACAAACTCAGTTTAATATGTTGGATAAATACATGACTTTTTTTTTTACGTCCAGCTGCAGGAATTTGATTAAAGAGGAATGTGGCAGAAAATCATTTTGGAGACAAGCAGCTAAAAATAAATGACTTCTAAACCCCAACTGTTTTCATTGTATAACATAGCAGATGAGATTTTTTTTTAAATCAACTTTAACTTTAATTTAATAACAACATATAGAAAAAAAATAATTCTCCTATACAATTTAATTCCATTACACCGGTGCTTCATTGTCATACCAGGGGTTCCAAACAGTCCAAACATCTAGGAGGCTGGACCAGTTTGTGCCAGCCATGACCCTGGATAGAGGGGCAGAGGGTTTAAGATGTCAGCCCGGTACAGCTGTAACACTTTCATTTCTTATGGGAAGTTTTTTTTCTAGAGGTTTAGAAACATTTATAGGAATTTTCCACCATTTATGAGGTCAGACTCCATGTTGGACTAGGATTGACCTTGTTTTGTTCACTGGTGCACTGGTGGTCATTTAGAGCAGTGGTTCCCAACTGGTCTTCAGGGACCGCTGACCTGCATGTTTAGATATGTCTCTGTTTCAGCACACCTGATTCAAATAAGGCTCCTCACCTGCAGGGAAGTGCTGCAAAAGCCTGTTAATTGTTTGTTGTTTTATGGTGTGATACAAGAGAATAAACCTAAAACATGCATGACAATGGTCCCTTAGGAACACGGCTGGGAACCACTGATTTAGAGCATTATTTTGTGCATTTTTCTGGAGCTGTAGCAAGCCGCTGCCTTCAGGCTCAGCTATCTTGAGGCAGTACCAAGATGTGATACTTTAATGCTCTCAACTTCCTAATAATGCTCCGAACTGCCATATAAATGAGTTATTTTTTTCTCCCAAACTATTTACATTTGATCACTGCTACAGTCTATGAAATGGAAATGTTAATTTACTGTCTGAAAAGCTGTAGTAAAAGAAATGTTATTTGGTATGCACTCTGTGTATACAAAATGACTATAAAAGTTGTCTAATACTAACGTCGAGGGCAGGAAGGGAGGTGTCCACATTCTCTCAATTTACTGCTGTATTACTAACCCTATTCGGAGTTCTGCCCCTCTTTTCATTGTTTGGTGAAGCATTAAAATACTCTGTCCAGTATGATATATATTTTTGTCCAATAGGTATATATATTTTTCCTGGTCTGGAGGAGTATGTTCTGACCATATTAAGGGCTTAATGCTTTCATACTCATGAAAATAATGGGCTAAGCCCTTCACACATTATTATACTATCATCTCCATCAGTCTCATTCTGAGAAAGGACTTCAGCTGGGCGGTATATAATTTGCCGCACCAGTGCTCTCAGAGCTTCATTGATCTCAGGCAGAACATGCACAGAACCGCGAGTCTACTCTGAGGTCCCTGTTTCATGTGAACTCCACTTAACACCTTCTTCTTTAAGCCAAAGTTAAGTTTTATTAAACATTTCTGAACTTCAGACGGCTAGACATGATTTTATTAGCTTAAGAATTATTTACTGCAACACGTTTTTTGGCGCAGTCTCTTAGTTGTCTCTCTTCTGGCCTCGACTGGCCCCAAATGAACTCTTCCAGAGATGAGCATATCATCCCCATTTTATCCTCCCTCCATGGATTGGCTTTCAAAGCCACATTTTACCTCTTGTTCCCATTTTACTTTGCGGTTGGGATAATGAAACTGTTGCTATGTTGATTATCAGGGAGGTCGGCAGATGTGGTAGATGATCTGATGATCAGTGGGAGCTGCAGCCAAGGAAGAACCATCCTTGGTACTTTTCGCAGTGTCTTGATTTGATCAAATGCAGTTCATTGGTGCAAATGTAATGATTACACAGAATCGATGCTGTTAAAAGTTAATCTTCATTAAACCTTGCTTTTTTTTCTTTTAGGTTATGCAGCATTTCCAAACATCTAATGGGGCGGACTCACAGTAATTCATAGTCAGCTTGTGCTTCACAGACAGGAAGGCAGCGTATCCTGTTTTTAAATGCTATTTTGACATCTCTTTTCATGGGTGATTATCAGTGTTTCACATTTTATGTATTGTATTTATCGTTTTTTTATTATTTAACATAATGAGTTTCTTCTTTAATATGTTTTATTGAAATGTCACCATGAGTAAGAAACCCCACATATTCAGTTTATTCAGTCAGTACTTAATACAGCAGTGACAATAAAGTATTTGAACATAATTTTATGTGTTGTTTTAAATTCAGTATGTTAAAAAAAAGAGTTGTTATAGAAAGATAATCTATCTATCTATCTATCTATCTATCTATCTATCTATCTATCTATCTATCTATCTATCTGTTACAGCCCCCCCTTTTGTAAGGAGGAGGGGAGTAACGCGACAACCACAAAAATTGACAGAATCCAGGTGAATGTTTTAAAAGACATAGGGATTTATTAACAACAAAAATCCCAGAAGGCTTGTACACACTGTGGGGGAGAAAGGGACGGTTAGGTGGTGCCAAATCAAAGAAAATAATAAA